GCATGCACACTCCCTATCACACGAGGATCTACTCTGAATACTACTCACTGGTGTCTCCTACTGACTATCCCTACTAATATACTAACTAGCGCTGGCGCAGCTATGGCTGCCTTCCTTCCAGCCAGCACCCTTCTTCTCTCTCTCTCTCTCACGCTTAGTGCTGCTCACAGCCTAGCGCAGCTCACACACATCTAGTGCACCAGTGCCACGGCACTTCCACACTCTCTCATGCATCTGCCGAATGAGGAGGCTGGCCAGTCCTTTACGGAGATGCGAGTAATAATTTCTGCTTTCCAGAAGTATATGTTGCGCGGATGCAGGTGGTGAAGGCCGGTTCCGCGTATCTCAGTTAAGCAGTGACTGTCTTTGTATACCATTTGAATGTCTCGAAGCTTATTAAGTAGAGAGCTGTTTGTGGGGCGTTGGGGTTAATTAGTTGGACTGTTTTCAAAAAAAATATAAAAAAATATAATAATAATAATATAATTTGGACTGGTAGGTGAAAGGCCTCTGTTTGGTGGGTAGGCCGTTGACGTGGAGTCGGTTCTCTGCAGAAAGCTGTTTTGCAACTTTCGCTGTGTTTGATTCTATTTTCGGATTTTTTGTGGGAATTTACATTGTGCTCGTGGTCAACATCTTGCATCTTGTACGTTTCGAATTTTGTACAATTTTGTGGAGAATTGTGGAGGAGGGGGAGGGAAGAGGGGGAAGGGGAGGAGCACAAGGCATGGTGGAAGGCTCGACCTCGGGGGAGCAGGTAGAGGTGAGGCTCGGCCTCGGGGGAGGGGGTAGAGGGGAGGCTCAGCCTGGGGGAGCAAGTCCGAGGCGAAGTGACCTCTGGAATCGAGCTGCGGTCCACACGGATGTACCTGCCCACCGCTGCCAGCAATTTTGCGGCGGGCAGTCGCACCAGCCTGGGTGGGCTTTGAGGGCCCTTTGGCCCCTGCTGCGCGGGTGGCAGGGTATTTCTGAGGGTTTGCTGATGCACCATCATGGAGGGAGTTGGTGTTTTAGGGCAGGTAATGTGGGGTGTGGAGTGATCTGCTTTGAATCGCGAGGAGGTGGGTAGGTTTGCGGGGTTGTGGTCACACACCCCTTCCGCGTAGGTGGCAGGGTGGATCTCACGGTGAGCTCATATTCAAGGGTGGTAGGGTGGTAGGGTGGTAGGCCTTGCCTTTGTAGGTTTGTTTTGCTGTTTTTCTTTAGGATTAGCCATATTGTGCACAATAGGGATTTTGTCATTTGGTTAAATTCGTTGTGCAGTTTTGTAATGGATTGTAACCTTTTCTATGCTATGAGGGACACCGGACCCGTTTCCCGGCTTTTATAATTCAAAAGCGGCTGTCGTATGAACCAGGCTGGAGTTCCTGGATCACACGACACTCTGACCGCCCCTTGTAAAAAAAAAAAAAAAAAGGGAAAAGCGGACGTTTTCCCAAACTCCTAAAAATTTGGAGGCCGGGCCCCACGACGGTTGCCATTGATAAATCTGATCGGCGTCCATTGCTTCGTTTCGGCCTCCGAAAAGGTCAGTGGCCCACCCAAGGCCCACTATTTTCCCATGCGCCAAAGGCACTAGTGGACACCTCGTAAAAAAAAAGCAGCAGCCAATAATCCTGCAGTTGAATGATGAGTGTCATCCTTGCGCAGGGGCCATGCTAATCTTCTTTGAGTTCCAGAACCGGGAAAAAAAAAAACGAAAAAAAACGGGTGGGGGGGAGGAACAAAAAAAGAGGGGCGACATCAGCTGAGTACTTTAGTCAGGCTGAGCGGCCCCAAGTGAAAATGCAAGCCTGACATCCTTGCTAATCTACTCTGTATCATTGCAATTTTAAACCACCAGTACTTGGCCCAGCTATCCATGCCGAGCATGGAATGCCACTGCGCGACAATTTTTGCCGACGCGCCGGGGTACCGTTCTGATTTGTTTTTGGCTGGCGCTTCCAGCCATTCTGGTCCGGTACCCCGAAGCCCTTAAGGCGCGGTGCGTTAACCGGAAAGCGCCGCGGCCGATAGCTGGGCCAAGTACTGGTGGTTTAACGGATGTTTAAAAAATCAAGAAATGGTCCAATTTTTTCTTTAAAAATAAAATAAAATGCAAGCCTGAGTTCGAGGCAAATAGTTTTGAATCACATGGGGCCCCTCAGTCTGATTGTAGTACTCAGCTGATGCCCCCCAATAGTTTTGAATCACATGGGGCCCCTCAGTCTGATTGTAGTACTCAGCTGATGCCCCCCTCCCC